CAATGTTCCCAAAGCTCCTCCCCCACAAGCACCAGGAGCATCCTCCCTGTTCAGGGCTGTAGGCCAAAGGCAGTGACAGCCATGTAGCCAACTCATGTGGGCTGCCTGATCCTGCAGCAGAGCTCATCATACTGGAATTGAGCAAGGCTTCCTGTGGATGTCTGCTTTTCCTGCCTGCCCCATGCTCCTGTGAATATCCCACACTGTAAAAACCAGTAAAGCACAGTAAAAAAGTTACCAGTGTGTCTGGCAGTACTGAAGCAGGGCAGCAGGAAAACTGAAGCATTTTACTTGTTTTCCAGGTAAGGAAAGGCAGGGTCAAAGCAGCCACGGCAAAGCCAGCAGAGATGATGAGGGCAGTAACCAGCCACATGGATGTGCCACCTAGAAATAACAGAAGCAGCAAAACTTCTGAGAGTCAAACCTTGTGAGGACAAATCACTCAATGCAGTCAGCCTGCTCCCTCTGTGGCTGATCTTTCCACCACCCTGGTGAGATCCTTTGTTGGCACACTCCAGGACAGGATACCAGTGCCAGTGTAGGGGGCTGCCCTACTGAGGTTTTTTTTTCCTACCCCAAGGAACAAATGGGCAGCACATTTGCAAATAAGAGAGGAGGTTTTGGGTGAAAATGAAAGGAAGAGCTGCTGGGGTATCCTTGGGCATGACTACACCAGAGGAATAGGAAGGAAGGCTGGCCGTTACCTTGTGCCCTCACACACTGTGTCTGGCTGAAGCTGCTGCTTCTGTTGATTGCCTCAACGTATGTCTGAGCTTTTACACAGTAATCAGATCCTGCCTCCATGGTGTCCAGGTGAACCACAGAGCTGACATCCTTCACCACCTTCCGCTGCATCTGCCACAAGCCCAGGAGAGAGAGGATCAGAACACAGGGCAAGGGCCTAATTGACAGCAGGAGTCCTGACATGATGCTAGCCCAGACTTTACTGGGAGAAGGGGAAGGAACAGCAGGAGGTGTGACAGAGAAAAACAGCAAACAAGGAAGCACAGTGGAGTGCAGAATGAGACCATGCACATTTGGAAGGGCAGGAGGGGATGAAAAGACAGAGCTGTGAGCCTAAGAGGCATAATGGCGATGTTGGGCCAAAATGCTAGACTATGACCTACTCCCCTGGTGTAACGGCTTGATGACTAAGGTCTTGACTGATCCAAGTTTTTGCTGGGATATGAAAATCATACCTGTGCTAGTCTGATATGATAGAAATGCCAGAACCATGCTGTGATAGGGGTGTGAGAGCTGTGCTGTGACTCTAGAGCACCGAGAGGAGATGGACTGGGCTAGTAAGGAGCAAGTGAATTTAGTGTGTGCAACTGTAACACACTTCAGCAGCCCTTAAACAGCATATGAACACCAGTACATTATTTTCTTGCAATAAATAGGACTCCAGTAACTGCTAGCAAAAAGAAGTTGGTATTTCCAGTCTCCTCAGTCACGAGAGGACAGGTAACAATTAGCTAGTTGTTCCGAATTCTTGCTGTGTTGCAGATGCAAAGCCTGCACTCACAGAAGGCCTGATCAGCCTCCAGAATCACACACACATACGGATACTTCTAACAAGCCAGTAGTGCTCTTCTGGTAGCAAGTTCTTCTCTCCATCAAAATATCCCTCTCCACAGAAATGTGATCTTGAGGCCCACAAGTTTGAAAAGATTTCAAGGATGAAATAAGGTCGGTGACTACATGTGGTGTGTAACCTCTTGCAAAAACCTCAAATAAGACAGGTCAAATGTGACAATTATTAAAAAAAAATAATTAAAAGAGTCCCAGCAGAGAACTGGACATGTACTGGCAAGCAAATCTGGTGCTTGTGACAGTCCAGTTGTCAGAAACTATTCTGAAGTTTGGAATCAATGTTTAGGTGATTAATACCATATATTGAAGAAGAGTTAACATTTCATTAAGCCCATGAACAAGGTTGATCTCGTTTACTTTGATTTCCAAAAGGTAGTCAAGATCTATTTCAAAGCCTATCAAGCTAACAGCAATGGGATGAAAAGGCATCAGAGTGTACTAACCAGGCTGCAACGGCCCTCACCAGCCCTGCCTGGCACCCCCATCTTCACCCTCCTGTCCATGGCCCAGAAGCCCCATTAAGCTCAGCCCAGGATCTTCAGTCCCAGTCTGAGCTATGCTGGAGTTCTTCCTGTCATAGAATCATAGGATGGTTTGGGTTGGAAAGGACCTTAATATCATTCAGTTCCAACCCCCCTGCCATGGGCAGGGCTGCCTCATACTAGACCATGTTACCCAAGGCTTTGTCCAACCTGGTTAAATGGTGCTCATGAGAGTTTTACCCCTTCATTTTTACAGTTGGTGAGTGTTTCTTAAATTGAGCATCCCCCACCAGAAACAGGAACTTGGGGTTCGGGTTTCCTGGAATAGTCAGCTCTGAGGTAGTCATCCTTGTTAACAATTGCTGGGGAAATAAAAGAGTGCGAAGACATGTATGGTGCTAACCCATAGTGCTCCTGCACCTTGAACTGTGCAGGTTTACTCCCTGCCCACCTTGGTAAGGGCAAAAATAGCTGGAAAGGCTTCCACAGGGAACAACTAAGTAGTCTGGGAGTCCTTGGCCTGGAAAAAGATACACAATATAAAACTATTTAGAGTGGCAGGGAAAGTGAATAGGGAATTACTGTTCTCTCTCTCTCTCTCTCTCCCCCCTAAACCAAGATTGAGACTGCACAACAGTTAAGCTGCAGAATTCCCGAGTACAGGAAGTTGTACATGCTAGAAGTTTATGTAGCTTGAAAACCACAACAGACATTATTGGAACAAAAATTCATCAAGGACTATTAATAATACCATTTCTGGTTCAGGAATCTCTTGGAGCTGTGTCTGTGACATCTCAGAAAATAATCTAAGTGTAATTACACACAGGCTTTCTCCTTATTAACTTCCTTGGTCATCTCCATTGCCCACTGGCAGAGAGAAGTTACTTGGTTTGATGGTCCCATGGTCCGACTTTATATGGCTGCCGAAATGTCATGCTTTTATGTTCTTAGGTGCTGTGGAAGCACAAGTTCCCAAGAAAAAAAATAAATCATTGATATCTAGTGAAAACAGAAGGACCTGAACACAACATAAATTGTCACTGCTTCAGTATCACCCAGGTATAAGCAATGCCCTCGGCTAAGCAAGTGGCAGCTCACTGTCACAGGCAAGCTGTTTTACAAAAAACTCCTGAGAAAAATGTCAGCACCTCAGTGTGATAACTTAATCTTGGTCTGAGTAATCCAAGTGATGTTTAGAGAAGAAAGTCAGCATGAACACCTTCAGTTCCTGACTTCTGGTTTCTTTGAATGCTTGAGGTCCTTGAGGAGATTCCTCTTCCCAGAGAAGAAAATGTGGAAAGAACACACAGCTTCTCCACAGAAGTAAGAGCAATGCACTGGTATGTGCAGAGGAATATGGCACACACTGACTCCAGACATGTCCTCTAGCCTCACAGCAGGAGCCTGGACTGGCAAACAGGCCCTGGCAATGTCTATATGCTTTCACTCTAAGTATGTAGGCTCTCTGTTATTGCCCAAAACCCGAGGGTAAAACTCACCCTACTCTCCTGGCCCTTCTTCCAGTAGAGAACACAGAACTGAAAGGCAGGCCCCATGTCTTCCAGCTCCACTAGTAAATGATAGCCATCTGCTATGACCTTCATCAGAGGTGGGGTCAGAGAAGCTGCCAACACAGAGAGAGCACCATTATCACATCAGAGGCAATCCTTACAACTTGTCCTGTTTCCAGCTAGGAGAGGGAAATCCATCACGAGCACAGTAACATTACTCTGCAATAAAAGCCAGTTGCTTCAGTGGGGCAGAAACTTCTCTTTGCTATACCTCCCATTATGACTAGATACAGTGAGTTTGAACAGGATGACCATGACTGGCATTGCAAATGGGAGTTTGGCAACAGCTGGGTTGTGCAGAACTTAAAAGGTTCTAAATTTTCTCCAGTAGAGGAAGCGTCTGGCCTAATTGTCCTGTGTGAACAACAGCAGCAGAACTAGCTGGGTGACCAGAAGTTGAGACACCAGATCAGGCCAGTTCTGCTCCTGGGCATTAGCTTAGCACTAACATACAGGACAGGAGCTGTGAAACCATTGCTTTTTCATGGGAATTTTGGCAGTTATTCAAATACAAAGGAAAAAGCAGTATGATCCTCTAGCAGCGTAACTCTGGCAGTTGACGTGAATGCTTATTGTCTTCTAGTATCTATGTGGGTTTAGATAGACTTAGGCTGATGACCTGCTGTGACTAAGTTTTTTATAAATGTATGCAAGTAAATCTGCAGATGATTTGCTTCATGCTTACTTTGATATTCAAAGATTGGTTCAGATTGGGATTCTGCTGTGAGGAGATTTAGTGAAACAATCAATCAAGCATGGATGAAACTACACACTGAACATTTGTGAACTGCAAATCAAGGCAGTACAAAGATCACATCTGTGCTACTTATATATGCCATTCTTTACCACTGTTGTGGCTGAAACTGGTTTTAACTTCCTTGCTTTTAAGAAATGAAAGAGAGCAATGTATAGCCACATACAGAAGAGATGTTCTTAATAATCTTACATCCAGCGAATTACCATTAAGACTGAGCAATATGAAAAGATAAAATACAAATATGTTCATAATGAGTGTGCCACAAACGGGATGCCTGGAAAACTATTTTATACTTTTAAATTGAAAAGTGAGAATCTGCTTAACAACATGTCTCAAAATTAAAAAAAAAAAAAAAAAAAAGTCTTAACATCATTTGGAGGTTAAAAACAAATTCTGGGTTAATGTTTTGACAGATGGATATTACAAGATGCTACTACTAGCCAAACAGAAGCATTTAGGATTATCTCTATGGTGGCACACTGGATACCAACTAACTATTTGAATTTTGATAAATGAAGAAGAAAGACATAACTAAATTGTTAGTTTTAGGAAGGTCTTTTGAAAGCGTTTTCCATGTGTTATCATAATTTACATGTATCTACATCTAATGCTTTGACACTGGAGCTATTTAGACTACAAGTACTGTGGGCTGTGCTGATGCCCTGACTGTCTATGAGCCACATACAGAACGAGTGGGCTGCGCTTTGAATTCCTTAGTTTCTCTCAGACTCAATGCCGTATTTCCTAAGAGATGCAATAGCAGAGACAAGGGAAAGTGAGTAGTAAAAATATGTAACGACAAGAACTTACAGAGATTTTTCTTTCTCCTTTAAATATTGGTCTATATATGCACATTCCTACTACAGTCCATTGCAAGTTGTATCCTCTGAACGTTCACAGCTTAGCCAGAGGGTTGTACTGAGGTCTTTAAAACGCATGACTAAGCTATCAAATACTTCACCATACCATGAGAAAGTTGCTGCTTTTCTTCATGAAGAGGCTCAAGCGAAGGAAGATCCTTCCCCTATCACTGCCTAACAGTGTGGTCCATGGCTCAACTCTGTATCACCATAGCTCCTGGAAAAGGGAAGGATTTTTCATCGAAAGCGTTATCTAGAAAACACTTCCACACCAAGATACACTCTCATCAGCTTAGATTGTGCTCCTCATGGTGCTGCTTTGATTAAATGCTCTGTATGAGTGAGGACTGCTCACTTACGAAGTAGTAGATAATTTCCAGTGATTGATGAAGGTTGAAGATGGGGTCAGTTCTGGTCTTGGACAGGCAATTTCTTTCCTGGCTAAAACTGATAACTGTTGCCCATCCCAGACTGAGACTTACACTCCAATAGTGACCTCAACAGAGGTTTTCCACCACGGTGTTTATTGCTTAAATCAGCTGACTACACAGCAGAGAACAGAGGCAATGATTCCAGAGAAACACTGGAAACAGCATGCTAATTTCAGGCTGTGACATGATCCTTAGGTTGAGCTAGACCTCAAAATTTGCAGGAGTTGGAAGCACATGGAGAAAATACCCTTCATGGCTAGGACTGCAGCAATGTTGCAGTTTCCTTTTTATTCTTCTCTTCTGAGGTCAATTCATGTATCAGAGAATATGGGAGGAGAGAACCATGTCTGGAAGGAACTGTGATTTCCAGGACAGCATGAAGCAGATAGAGGGTGACATGGCTGTTTTCTAGAGAAAGTGCTTCCATAGGATCACGTTCTGGACTCTCAGAATTGACTAGATGACATGGATTAGATGGAGCAGTGACAGCAACCTTGGTTGATCAGAACCTTTTGTAATCAGAGGCAAGAGTAGCCAACTTGCCAAAAGAAATGTTTTCTTACATATCTTAGATCTTTGGAGATTCAAGCCCTGATAAATTCGGCCCTGCCTCAGGAGAAACTCACGTTCACGAGCACAGCATGACTAAGAGTGAAATGTCCCAACTCAAAATGAGAGAAGCTGAGAAGCAGGGTGAGCTTTCTGTGTCTATTGGCTTTGTGTGACATGCACAGTATATAAACATATGCATGAGCAATCCCTCAACACCAGACTGCGAAATTAATGCAATGTCATGGAGCTTAAGCCAAACAGCAGGACTCACTTGTGATGCGATTGAAGAAACCTTTCAGGGTGCCCCACTCTGATCTTCTAGTGCCAGTGTCTGCCCTTACACGCAGCTTATAGGCCACAGTGGCTGAGATATCCTCTGTGATGTTGCACGCCGTGGCTGTGATGAGTGAACATTCACAGATGGGAATCCAGCTCTCATTGGCGTAGTCTCGTTCATACTCACTGAGGAGAGGAAAAGAAAGCAAACTGGCAACAGTCTGGTAGGATGTGTATCTGTGACATAGGCTAAGGCTGCTTGCTAGTTCTTTCCAGGTAAAACCAGTACTGGGGTGCATTAGGGCTTGAATACCAGGAGTGTATGAAACCAGTATGGGTGTGGTTTAGATCTTATCTAGACAAAATCTCCCAGAGCCAGTTTATTCATGAGTCAAATGGAGCATGATAGTGTAGGAGGTGGGGATAGCCAACACAGTGTTGATGCCTCAAATCCTGCCCACTCACTTCACTTGATCATCCTGGGTAAACCAGAATTCCAAAGCCATACTGTAATACAAGTCATAGCTCAAGATGGATCAGAAACCCCCTGTAATGTGTGTTAGATGTTTAAAAGATGAACACTGAATAAATCTCTTTCCTTTTCTAAATAAACTGTTGCTAATCCTTCTAACTTTTGAATTATTTGGACAGAGGCAGTTTTCATATTTGGGCTTAATGCACAGCTTGGATTACTCTGCTACCTATTAATCTGTAAACAGTCTCAGAACTCAAGCAAAAGGAATTTTTCCCCCACTTGTAATGAGCTAGTACTAGAGTATCAAGCTTCTCCTTTGCATATGAGCTGAATAGTGCTAAACATCCCAAAATGCCGAATTTTAAGTCTAAGTAAACAGCGTTCAAAGAACAAAGAAGAGTAACAGAAATTACCCCTGAAACTCAACAGAGTATCTCACAGTTTCTTCCTGGGCGGTCACAGGACTCCAAGATAAGAAATGTTTCATGTTGGTAGAAAGGATAGAGATATTCTGAGGTGCTGGCAGCAAAGCATCTTCACCTAAAATTCCCAGCAAAAGAAAAGAAAAAGAAAGAAATGAAAAAGGTATATGAATTTACTAGGAAAAATCTTACAATAGTGCAAAACCATGTTTTGTATTAGAAATACACACTCTTTATTTCACTACTGTCACTTCAGAGTTTGAAACATTTTTCAGAGAAGAAATGATAACCAAAGTGCAAATGACAGAGCAGTTAGGCTGGCACTGCTTACAGAAAGGAAAAGCACACCTTTTCATTGTTTAATGAAGTCAAGTAAAAGATACTCTATTGCACTCTATAGACTGTTCCAGTGTCATAGTTGGAAGTGTGCTGTTTCTTTCCAGGCTTGACTGGACACTGTTAGATCTTAGCTGTTGTACAGCTTTTTTCATGTTGCAGGATTGTAATAATCTAAGTGCTTGTAGGCTGTAATCAAAGTACCTCTTTGATTTATTTAATGGACTATAAATAAAATTATTACTTTATTCTGAGATAGCCAAAGCATACGGGATGGTACCTACAGTGTAGGTAATTTTATTCTATGGCATCCTGATGCAATATCCTTAGCAGTGTTTGGACCAGGGCACAGAAGGCAGGAATCCCCACAAGCACATCCTGCACTACGCTATGGGAACAGACTTATCTCTGTTCTGCTACTTTCCAGTCACAAGTGTGTTCTCTCTGCTCAGCAGGGAATGGTTCCCGACGAACCACTGAAAGGGAGGAATGGATGGAACAGTTTCAACCAACCCAATGTAGCACTGGTCATTTCAACAGTATGCCAGAAACAAGGTTCTATCACAATGTCTGTTACCAAGGATTATTTCTTAATTATTGTTTAATGACATCTATTTCACTTAACAAGGCCTATCTTTCATTAGTCTTAACTGCCATTAAAAGACGGTGTCTTCTTTTAAAACTCCGTTTACAAATTTAACCAATTGATGTCAGTTGTTCTACTCAGGATCAAAGCCAGGTTGACAAGTCCATGAGCAACATTTTCATGACAGTTATTCTTTTACAGCATTAGAACATTGGTGTTCTTTCTGCCCTTAGAATATTCCCTGTATTTGTATCTTTATAAAATCACTAATGATGTGGAGAACCTTGATGCCGACTCCTTATGATTCTTTGGCATAAGTTATATGGATCTGTTGACACAATGCTTAGCCATTCTTTAAAGTAAACGTCAGCTATCTCCAGGATGAGGAGCTTTCTTCCCTGTAATTTAGATAGCAGAAGAGTCATTGGTGCCATACCAGCAGTTCTGGCCTGTGGGGGTCCATACTAGTTTCAAGGCACTTTTTGTCTTTATTGACGTTCACTCTGCAGCTTTACCACCCATTTGGTCTCTATTACTCTCCATGCTTCCCAACATTTAGATTGTTTGCTATCACTTTTCCTTGTACACATTGGGAGTTGGCATACTCAGGTGTGTGACTTATGTAACAGACATCAGTTATGTGATCAGACACTGGTTTTTCCACAGCTCAGCACTCACAATGATGTTCCCTGTCTGAACAGGGCTGAACTGTGCTGGAGTGTTTCAGAAATTTTTAAGTCCTTGATTTAGGACTTCTTGGATATGTACTTTTCTTTTATTCAGAAGTACTGAAACCCTGTTTTGCTGGCAAAATCAGTGAATCTTCTGTTGGCACAGTGAGACCTGTCACCTCACTTCAGCTGAACCACAAAGGTTTTATACATGCACTAAGATTTCTTTCTTCCTTTCATTAGGAAAAAACTCTGGACCTAATTACAGTGTATGTGTCTCTATGAAAAAAGTTCACCAATTAAAGTTTCTGTTCGATATTAATAATAAGTGGTTTTAATAGATTCAGGATGAGCACAAATTCTGCTACTCATAAGAATGCTTCTCCGTGAAAAATAAGATACATAAAAACCTAATACTCATCTATGCTATCTACAGAGCATACTTCCTGATTTTTACAGGGCCACATATCTTCTGTGGCAAAGCCATAGCACACAGCAGCTATTGGAGCATTTGCACTTTAGTGTGAGAAAACTAAGTCTCCAGCACTGCAGGTGAGATGGTGGTGGTGAGGTATAGTGTTATGGATGTGTAGTTCACATGAACGGTACACTAATCTGAACATCTGCCTTCAGATGAAGAGAAGTGTATCCCTAAAGAAAGATATTGTTTACCTTTCGTAACTAAAGAATACAGAAGCAGATACCAGTATGGGCCTAAGTATGCATATGCCTGCATGTGTGTGTAGCTGTTAAGTGTAAAAAGCATAAGATTTTGTGCTCATAAGGTTAAAATACTTAAATGACAAATACACTAAAGTGAACCTTGTGATTCAGCTTTAGTATGTTTTACTTCATTGTTTGTATAAGAATGTTTGTAACTGCCAACTAAGCCCTACTCCAAATACAGTGGACAGCCCTCAGGAGTGAATTATAAAGGTTTAAAGCTAAAACCTGCAATCTTTTCATCCAGTACACAAATTAAATGGGATTCCTGAGCAATAAAAGCAATGATGCACTTCCCTGCTCTCTGACTGGGACCCAGAGACATACTGAAAGCTGTAGTTTGGAAGAGAGGTTCACTCTCTTCCAAAATGCTGTTGATCTAGACATAGCGTATCCTGTGTTGTAGCCAAACAAATTATATTTCTCCAATCCATCTGTTGCAACAGCCCACAAAGCAATCGTAAGCAAGCGTTTAACACTGGGAGAAAAGACAATTCTGGGTTATATAAACAGGGAAAGCACTAAGTATAAACAGTGAAGGATGTTTCCTAGTACTGAAATACTCCATTATCTGTGGTCTACACATTTTGAAGGGAAAAGAAATAATATACAAAATGCAGGTGACAACTGAACAGAAAGAGCAGGCAGAACCCAGAAGGCTGTTAGCCCAGGGCTGTGTACAGCTTCCATTTGATTTTGGATTCACAAGCAATATGTAAATAGCCTCACAGGAAAAGCCAAGCTCGTCTTTCAAGCCAGGGTACTGACTCTTCCCCTAACATCTCCAGTCATGCCAAAGAAAAGACATGTCCAGATTTTCTCTGTAAATAGCATTTCTGCCTCCTTATCTGTCAGCAGTATACTACATTTTATTTGTTACACAAAGAATGGATTTCAATTCAGACTGGTGATGACTTCTTCACATTTTTCCCCTCTGTGTTAAACTTACAGAATCTACAATTAAAAAAAAAAAAAAAAGTAAAATTCATTATCAAATCCAATATATTTGTCTGGTTTACTTTTCAGTTAAAAATGCCTTAAATAAACCCTGATAAAATTCCATTGCTCTAGGATAGATTCTTATACCCTTCTTTCTCTGTGAATATAGAATGTAGTAATATTTCATCTCTACTACCTCATCATTTCTTGCTGTTAGTTCACTACTATCACCACTACTTATGGTTCAATGTCAGCTAACACTGCACAGATACTAAGAAAATGACCTCTTTACCCTCCTTTGAGGGGCCCAGCAAACACAAGAAGTAACTCCAGAAGCAGCATCGCATAGTGTTCAGAAATGCTTTACCACGTCTGTGCTTTTTCTGGCATGCCCCTTAAAATTTTACATACAGGACTGAGAAATCCTTCTTTACCGTAGTGCTAATAAAGATTAGCTTTTAACTTCCAAGCATTTATCTTTTCCAAATCTGCAGGACAACAACATCACCAGCTTCTCGTATCATCAAACAGTGCCTGCCTCTCTCCATATGAGGAAGCTTCAGTGAAGGGGAATCTGAAAAGGGAATTCTGGACTCTAAATACTGGTGACAAGAAAATAATGTCTGCAACACCCCACAAAGCTAAAGGAATTTCTATGCAAGCTAAGTAGTGAAAATGAAAGTATTTTAGACAACAACAATAAACTATGCTAAACGATCTCTTTGGAGGTACCCTTAAGCTGAAGACTAGGAACTTCCCCTCCCTCATTTGCCAATTGCACAAACTGACTGCAAAAGGCAAGATCTCAGTACATACCCCCTTGCCTGTTTTTCTTCCCATCACATGGGATACAAAGCCTGGACCCTCAGGCTTAGACAGGAACAGGCCATCTTCTGGCCTGGTATCTGCTCTGTGCAAACCACAGGGGCGGCTTTAGACATAAACATTCAGTCAAAACATTCTTTCCTCAAAAAGGAGACCAGGACACAAATTTTCATGTTTCAGGTCAAGGCCAAATGAATGGGGGACACAGTGTAAGTTATCCCATCTTTTTCTCCTACTGTCTGTCACAGTGTAGAAGACAAAATACGACGAGTATGCAGCTGAGCCAGGCTGCCAGTCACTACGCACAGAGGCGACATGGCTCCTGTGCAGAAACATCACACAGCTAGCCAGGCCTTAAAGGAAAACACAGTAAAAACAAAACTAAATTTCTTTAAAGAACAGCAGCCCTGCTTTGACAGCTTTTAAAAAACATTTGTCATAATCATCTGTATTCCACAGAAGAAACTTGATGCTGAGCCAGTGGTTTCAGTATCCAGCAACAAGGAACTATAAATAATTATGTTTTGTTGTGTTTTGCTGGCCAAGAAAGCTTTAAATTTATTTATCTTTTTTCTGAGGCAGAAAACAAAATGAAGCAAGACACAACCTGAATTCAAAAGCTAAGATAGCACATTTAGAAATACAGAACTGAACAAAATCCAAGCACAATGGCCAGCCGCGTTTGCTTTCTAGAGGACTGACCATCATAAAAACCCTAAAGTATAGTAAGGAGATCCAAGGCCAAACTCCTTTCAGGAGATGGGTTTGGAGCTTAGCATTTACTTGGAGAAGAAGAAAACAAATTGCACAGCCTCCTTCCAGGGTAAAGAGACCTTCAGAAAATATATTTGAGCTATTAGTGCTTTATAACCTTCCTTTCTGACCCTACGTCTACTCCACAGGCGGGGCATCCCCTGTGCTCAAATTGATCAGCATTAAGAGGACTTGAAAGTTCAGCTTCTCACAGAACAGTGAAAAAGCAGACATAAGTACAGTATTACTAATATCTTTCAAACTGAAACTCCCCTTTAGGTTTCAGAATGACTTGCAGAATACAGAATTTGTGTATTGCCTTTTTCATTTGCTTATTCTAGTATTAACTTTAGATAAAGAATTAAAATTCAACACCTGACCTTACACTATTTGACTCAAGTTTTTTAGCTGTATGTTTAACAAAAGGACAAAAGATTTTCTGTTTCTCACAGCCCCTTAATCTTCCAACTTAGTCAACAGAAGATATTTTAGCCATTTACCTGTGAGATTTGGTGCAATCAGAGCGCAGAGGAAGAAGCAGATGAGCTTTAGCAACATTTTGCTCACACTTGTTGCCTTCTCCCACATTCATACCCTGTTGTGCAGTTCAGGTATTTCCCTTCTAGCCAGGAAGCCCTGTCAGAGCCAGCCATGATGCCAGCAAAGCAGAGACTCCAGGGGAGTATCACAAACACCGCTTCTCTGCCTGTCTGTGCCAGTGCCAAAGACGTACGTACATTGTTTGCAAGGGCGCAGTTAGAGGGAGTGCCCGTGTAGTCTGGTGCCAGCATTTCTTGACAGGTCTGTGCAACTGCTAAACTAGATGGCATAACTCTGTTTCACACTGTTAGCAATTACAGGTATTAAACAAAGACATTGTAACGAGGAAACAGTATTCAACAGATATTCCCATGTAATTTATATAGCTCTAAGTGCTCATTTTTCCTGCTCAGCCCCAAAACTAGGAACCAGGAAAGTTCCCCACTATTACTAAGACATGCGTGTAGCCACAGACCTTGCACGAAGGACTGTGTGCCCCTGGGCTGGCAGAAGGGAGTCGTATGCTCCAATTTGTCTTCAAGTATTACTTTTTGTGGCAGCTATGTTGGGTGTGTACCGAGGAAGACATTCTGTTTTCAGATCTGATTTGGTGCAGACACATGTATCCCTGAGTTTATCCGTCTTCCAAGATCCATGGCTCAATTCTGACCATACAGATAATTGGGGAAATAAAGCCAAATCCTACCAAATGTTTTCAGCTCTGATAAAAGTGAGTACTAAAAACGTCTCCTCTAAAACCTCTTCTTCTTCCTTGCAATTTGTCACCTTAGAAAGGGCTTTTGTGTCTTAAAAAATTTTCCTTTCTGACACCTTTTAATAGCAAATACATGCTGACTGTTTTCAGTGGTGAACTAAAGGGATCTGTCAAAACATGTGTAGCCCATATTTTCTGAGGAAAGCATCTTTTATTTATTTATGAAAGAATAAAATTAATATTCAGTTAATGACAGGTCTCCAGATTCTCAAGACACACAGGAACAGCACAAGCCTTCCCCTCCCCTCCTCTCACCTTTAACTTCTTCCTTCCTTTGCCCCCCCCTTCCTTTCTTATGTTATAGGTGTGTCTAATTGTATTAGCAATAAGATACTATGCCTGTGCTGAGAAGCAAAACAAGTATTTGCAGAAAAAAGGCAAAATTTAGTCATAAGGTGAAAAATATCTGTTCTCTTGTTGTACCAAGATATAAATAAGACAATCACGAATTTTGAGATATTCAGTTCAGCCTGGGTAGTGTATCTGATTTTTCACTGCTTAATATCTTGTGGTGCCATAAACACGTGGATTTATACACTCTGCTTAAAAATTCAGACACGAGTTGAGAGGTATCTCAAAACACACATGATCTGTAATGAGTTATGCCTCATACCATTCATTTTATTACTGGAACAGATGCACAGAAAAGTTTGCATTCAGTTTGTAGGAGATTTACTGGGATTAGGTACACAGCTAGAAGTTTTCCTTTCCAAAGTTTTCTCGCTGTCTGTGAGCCAGGCAGCCTCCTTTCCAAAGGTGATGAAAATGAATACAGCCCCATATCACAGTTTATTTGTTATGAGCAATAGAAGAGGTAGAGCGAGTGTGCCATAATAATGATTGCAGCTGCCCCGAGTTAACAGCAAGACTCTAAAATGAGAACTATAATAATATTGTACTATGTTTCCTTCCTTGATTATAGACATCTAAGCACAACATAAACATAGAAATGGATTGTGGGGCATCTAAAGAAAACTTGAGGTGGAAGCTGAAGCTAGTGCATATACAGGGCTAAGTTTTGCAAAACAAGAAGCTTGGGATAGAAGTGATTATTCAAATTACAGCTACAATAGAATAACAGTGACAAAATACCTTCTGAGATTTTCCCTTTTTTTGAAATGCTGTATAGAAAGACTTGACTTGAAAGAAATAAAAGTACTTATCCAATTTTACTGTTTTGATTTCAGAATTTTTTCAGTTTTACAAGTCATTTTGAACCTGAAACAAATGTTTTAATTACTTTTCCTTCACAATTATGGTTACATTTACATTTCTCTGAAATATTTTTATGTTATTAAACATATGAGTTCCTAAAGATAAAAGATAAACATCTGTCTGACCAACTGTTCTTTTTCACTTGCAGATTTGGGATCTCAAATAAGCAACCTGATTTTTCATCACACAACAAAGGACTGGAGTTAGTTAAAACAATGACTTAAGGAGCTAAATAAAAACACTGAGAAAGATTAAAAATTCACAGCTCAGCAGAAGTCAGTCAGGACTGGAACAATAAGAAAAGTAGAGGTAATTTCCAAGAGTCATCTACTTCGGAGGTATTCTGAGTCATTTTTGCTCATACAAATCAATGCAAAATGTTGCAAAATTATTTAGATGGCCAGTTCAGCACAGTTACCCATCAGTATCACACAATCACTGGCTCAGGAGACAGACAGAAATGGGAATCTGTGCCTCAAATTTGACTAATATAATTTTGATGATACTCAAAATCTACATCCAGAAAAGAGACTGTAGAGGTTGTTTGAAGACAACCACCAGCTTGACCTTGCCAGAAAATCGTGGACAGAAAAGAAATAGGTAGAACATGTAAACAGAGTTGAGCTTTTGGTACGTTTGATATAAATGAATACTCCTAAAATAAATTGCCAGTAAATTTATTTATAAATACTTGGGTAGACTGAAGTGAAGATCAACAAAAGAAAGACAAAGACATACTCAGAAACTGTGGAATTTGCCATAGAGTTCTAACAGTTTTTATAGCAGCTCAGGAGGAAAAAAAAGATGCCGCTAGTGGGAAAAGGACAAACTGACTGCCCTAGGGCCTATGAGTATAATTCTGTTTCTAATACATTTGATTGAACAGGGCAATTCTGAAGTAGGCCATGATATTTGCCGAACATGTCTGCAACAATCATCAGTTTTTAAAACAGGAAATTGGCAGTAATGCGAAAGGTAAGGTAAACAGTTCAATTACTTGCTAGCATTCTAGAAAAAAAAAAAATGTTCAAAACCCAGAAAGACATTTACAAACATAAGTTTTGCTGCTGAGTATGTCAACATACTGTAAAGGAATACCCAATTTGCGAGGATATCAAAGCAAAATATGTAAATCTGATTGGCTTGTTTACATTCTTAGTAAATCACAGCAAGTTTAGCTGAGAGGCCAGCTACTATTTGTAACATTTTCTAGGTTAAGTGGAAATCACAGAATGGGTTAAGAAAGCTTCAGAAAAACCAAGGGTGTTGAGGAAGAATTATATTATCAAGTTGAGCTATGGAATTAGTGAAGGAAAATATATATGAAATAGGAACTTACTCAGAAATGGATTTGAAATGTGCACTGCTAGAACATGAGAAGGAATATCCAGAAATAACTCCTAAGAATACTTGCTTAGATTTCCTTATGATAACAAACATATATAAAGGCACAGTTGGTATCTTCTAAATTATTTCTGAGGAAAATCCTTTAAAAAATGTGCATTAGGTCAAACAAGAAGTCGACAAGGCTGTTTTCAGTGATGAATGGTCCCTGCATCTGGGGACAGGCTTCTGGGACCATTGCCAGTGCAATAGTCAAGAATAGTGTTCCAGCAAAAGATAAAGAGGGATAGCTTGTATATAACTTGCAGCCTCAGGCAAATCTTTTCTGTATCTAAAGCAACAATAATGGAGACCTGCTCGCTTTGCTTGGCTTTTCTTGGATAAGATGCAAACAGTAAAAAGACATACTAGCAAAACGTGAACTGGAGGGCCTTGTTAACACTTGCCAAATAAAGTAAGTTTAAGAGAAAACCAGATGAACATGTGCTTCCAGAATGCCTTCTGGGTTTGTTGCGACACAAAACTGAAAACTCAAGTTGCTGCAATGTAAGGAAGCAGAGTGGTCTGGCCAGAAACCTGTTCTTTTAGAGAACAGGTCGTACTGCCCTAGTGAAGTGGGATACAAGATTATTAAGCAGCACCTTGACCATTTATCAGCAGAAAAGAGAGAAGAGAAAATGTGTGAAGAAATGCATGAAGAACTTACTCCTGGAACATAGATTTAGGTAAAAAAAACATAGCTACACTGGTTCTCATGAGAAGTATAGAAAATTATTTGAAATTAATTTATGGCTCTTATCACTTACTGCAAATAAGCAATATACTCTGGAAGCCATACGTAATTCAATTTGGGTTTTTCACATGTGGTTATTTGCAAGGAAAATGTATTGAAGGAACAGAAAAGAGAAGACCCAGATGACAATTTAAAAAGAAAGCTTCTAGCCTTTGGTTATGCTTGAAAAGCAAGTGGACAGTGTTTTATCTTAACTACCTATCACAGCCTCTTTTTCTTATTCTTGGATTTCCTGGTAGATATTAAAACATTTGAATAATGTTTTATGATAAGTTTAAGCTGCCTATCTGTGCTAGAACCTAAATATATGTGAATAGTTTAGAAAAGTAGTTTGTCTGGACCTAATCCCTCTGATAAGAAGACCTGAATCCTTGCAAAACTGACCAACATGTTTACAGACTGTCTTGTGTAGACTTCTGCAGGGCTTTGTTACTCCAGAAAGCTTGTTTAAGAATTTACAAACATTGCAAAAGCATTACAGGTGATAGGAGGATGAGGAAACCCATACTTTGGGAAGCAGTGTGTGGCTACCACTCTCAGATTGGAAGCATTTTTAGCAACTGCTCTTACTCCACTTTCCTCATAGTTGCAGAATTGGTTTCTTATTGGAGATGTGACTGCAATGCTTTTGAAAAGTAGGTTAAGAGTTAGCTGACCAGGTTGTGCATATAGTAATTCTGATCCTGCAATTTTGTTATTGGGCAAGGCAAAGCTTAGCATGGACCAACAGATCCAAGCATCAGCATAAATAAGCTACCGAGCTTCCTCCTGCTGGTAAGCTACATTGGTCTGGCTCAATCAGGTGTCTCCACGTTGCACTTCAGTGGCTTACCAGTTACTGCTGTTGTTTACTAGCTGGGAACAAGGCTGACAAAATAAAATAAATGACTA